TACACTACACTCACACTACACTCGCACTACACTTGCACTACACTCACACTCGCACTACACTCGCACTATACTCACACTACACTCACACTCGCACTACACTCGCACTACACTCACACTACACTCACACTCGCACTACACTCACACTACACTTACACTCGCACTACACTCACAGTACACTCACACCTCACTTACACTACACTCGCACTACACTTGCACTACACTCACACTACACTTGCACTACACTTACACTACACTCAAACTACAGTCACACTTGCACTACACTCACACTACACTTACACTCGCACTACACTCACAGTACACTCACACCTCACTTACACTACACTAACACTACACTCGCACTACACTCACACTCGCACTACACTTGCACTACACTTGCACTACACTCAAACTACAGTCACACTCGCACTACACTCGCACTACACTTACACTACGCTCACACTACACTCACACCTCACTTACACTACACTCAAACTACACTCACACTCGCACTACACTTACACTACACTACACTCACACCTCACTTACACTACACTCAAACTACAGTCACACTTGCACTACACTCACACTACACTCACACTACACTCACACCTCACTCACACTACACTTGCACTACACTCACACTGCACTAGCACTACTCTTAATAAGTGGTTGTGACCATTTTGTTTTGCTAAACATTTCACCTTTATGAACTGATTTATTTCAGAAATGCATGTACACACTGACCCACATGCACTTGTGCCTCCAGCCCAGGCTGCACCAACCCTGTGCACAATACAGTTTGTACACCTGTTACATAAATACTCCTTTCCTGGCAATTTTAATGCATTTTGTTGTTTCATCTTGGAAAAACCTTTTGCACCAGCGTGTGAATCATATGGTCCTCTCGAATGCCTTAAAGAACAATCAATGAATGAAATAGCTAACAGTGATTATAGCAGAGGCAGCTGTGGTTCAGGAAGCGAGTGTTGCTTTACTGCACATAGCGATCACACTTCAAGCGCACTGTGAGTTCAACTAAGCCACGGCCCAGACTATCCCTTGAAGCAGGACGGGGTACGTGCTCTGTGGCCTAACACAGTCATGACACACATCAGTGGAACTGGACTTTGGTGATCAGACATGGTGTGGACCACCTCTATACTGAAAGAGGACCCTTAAACTGCTTATTATTCTAATACTGGTCGGTCACGGCACATGTGCCAAAGACCAAACTGTGCAGAATTTGGAGATGCTCTGGGATGATTACTTTAGAATAACATGTATGCAGCCAAACGTTTATACCAGCACCTGCAGAAAACATGCTATATGCCATTTGTTGTGTAGTTGAATGCATCTCTGGAGGTTTCAGCATAAAAGCTACAAAACAGTGCTTTGTAATTAATATTAAATAATCTGCTCATAGATCAAAACCATCAAAGCTAACACAAAACTTTGGAAAAACAACTTTTCAAGGAACATATCCCCACCTTTGAAAATCAAACATCTATTTTATTTTTTATTCAGCATAATGTGGTCAAAGATGCTGAATATAGGTATTGATTGGCCCTGATAAGTCATTCCTTTACAGTGCATCTGTATGAGGCTCTCAAAGAGCCAAAGCCTCCCTCATGAATAAACATGCAGGCCAATCCCAGCTCCTAGCTCTGACAACTACATCCAATCACATGAATATTCATCACACAGCTTAAATGCAAATCAACCTGCTGCGACTCCAGATTTCCACTCCCCCGTGTGAGTTGTGTGTGCATTCCTACAGATCAAAAGGTTAGACTCTGCTCTCGGAGCTGTTTGTGACGGTAGCAGATATAGTAAGCAAACACCAAGTGGCTTTTTTAAAGGAATTTCTTCATCATCTCTGCATGAGAGAGAATAAATCCAGGAGAGAGTGACAGCACAGATATAACATGAAAACGCGAGGGATGACACAGAGCAGCGTGCTGACTGGGAGCAGACTCGTGCCTGCAGAGGCAGGTCCTGAGTGTTAGTGTCAAACCGCATTTTATGTAATCTAAGGTGAAACTTTTAGTACTTTTAAAGTTACTTACATAGAAAGAGCCCATCTTTGGCTGGCCACAGAAAACACTTTGAAGAGCACACACTAACACTATGACATATCTACCATGCAAGAACGGAATAAACGCTCAATGGCAACAGAAGAAGGAACCGAGACGCAACGCTGCAGACGTTTGCATCACATTTTAACCACAGACCTTGGTTTAACATGCAGCCAGAGGAGCTAACACACCGATCACTAAAGCATTCATCATTTGCTCCGTCTTTGACCTTCGCTGTCATGCCCACAGTCTTACGTGGAAATTGGAGATGTGCTCTCTGTCCAGAGGCTTGGTGACCGACAGCTGGCCTGAGATGGGGTTAATGATGAAGATCCCAGTGGGAGGCTGGTCAGCCCCAGGTCCCGTCACACTGTAGCGCAGCATTCGGTTCTTATCCCGGTCTGAGCGGATCTAAAAAACAGATAGAAAGGGCACAGGAAGTGTTTACTACAGGAAACGCAGAGCTGGCAGAGCAGTGCAGGTGGTAAATAACAGCAAATCTGGATTAAAAAACAAACTTTCTACGTTGAAGTCGACTTTCTTTGTGAGCATCTGCTGCTGTCATGTATTCTGGGAGCTGCTTCTCTCTGCTGAGCACGACTGCCATCTTTTTATAAATGTAAGAATATAATGACACCAAAAGTGGAGCTACGTTGTGAGTTTGACCTGGATGTGTCTTGTGTGTCACGATGACTTTAGGCTTGCACAGGCAGCACGCAGCAGGAGCCTGGAGCAGCTCAGCAAAGGAAATGTGATTTGTGGCGAAGCTAAAATAAACTGTGATGTCTGGAGCACCTTCAATATCCTGCACATTGTCCACATCATCACGGCATTAAAGAGCGAGGGGGTGCTGCAAAGATACTCGACGTGCACACACATGTTTACAAGTCTCAGAAAAAGATGAAGACGTGGGCGGAGCCAGAGGGAAGGCTACACTCATCAAAATCACTCAAACAGAAGCAAAGAATAAATGATCCATGCACAAATCAAATTCAGTCTGAAAGGTAAGCTGCCTCTTTCTCCATCTGCACGGCTCATTGTGCACTAAAGAGCACAGACCTGCCGGAGCTTTCATTCTCACAACACAGAATATTTTTCCTAAAGTTACATGTAGAAATGGACCAGCACTGACATGTAGTCTCATATTCTGCAAAGGCCACATATAACAGCACTGCATCTCCTGCATATACACAGCTCCAAACAGCCAGTATGCCAAAGTTGCTGCTCTTAGGTTGAATGTGCATTTGTAAGAAATAATGTTGACATTTGGTTGTTTTGCTGTTTGTGTTCTGCTTTGAGATATTAGAACAGACTTACACGTCTTCACACTTAAAAAAGTAGATTATAGATCTACGTGTCTGACTCCCTGAGGATCAAACAGTGTGAGTTTGAGGCTCCTGCTGGATAAAATAGTTCTTACTGAGGCTAACACTGCCGCTGCATTTCTCTACCTACTTCATCTCTATTACAGCAGTCACAGCTGCATAACTGGTTTCATAATAATTACGTATTATGTGTGGAGGCTGTTTGCTCCGCAAGGCTGCCATTGTTAAAAGTAACTAAACTAAAGTGATTTATTACATGTGTGCTGTGTCAGGTTTTCAAAGGTCATCGGGTTACAGGAAGCAGAGCTACGTCTGATTCATGAGGAACAAAGAGCCTCATGTCTTAGTGCAGAGTTTAGATGATGGATACTGTGACTCTTACTAAGCTTTGGGAGTGAATGTAGTTGTAACGTGAAGTCTGCTAACATGTAGAGAAAGCACTGCTCATATCCCGACTAAACCACTGAAACTATCTCTGTTGATCAAAATTAAAAATATATTTTAAATGAAAATATTCCTTTAAAAAAGAAGTTTATTTGAATATGAACAATGGTCCACCTCTCCGACCCAAGTGTAGCTGCCCTGCCTGCAGCCTCTGCACAAACACAGCTGAACTAGCCCGACAGAGACGACTCCAGCTCCATGTGCTGAAGAAGAGGTTTTTGAAGAATGACGAAGGCCAGCATCAGAACTTGTTTAGCTTCGATATATTTCTGCATGGACCTCAGTAAGCAAAGTTTTATTTTGTGCTTTGAAGGCACAGACACTACTCATTTTTCACGGCACACTTGTCTAACTCAGCATTAGTAGTGTTTTATCATCATATTTGGACTCTTCATAGATGTCATCATTGAGTTCATGTTTTATTCATACGTGCATGTCTGCTCTAAAATTTACTGCCGCTGTAAATCTCTGATTGGCTCTGAGGTCACTGGATGTGACCCTTTAAGTGTTTCTGAAAAAAGGGATTGGCCGGCTCTTGGATTTATGTACGCATCGTGTCTTTAACACAAGTGCCTCAGGCTTTAAAGTTAAGTGTAACTATATAGTGTAGAAACTACATGATATGCAGAGCAGGTTCATATCATGTTCGAGTGAAGTAAGTCAATAATATATGTTAAATCTCGCTCGGGATTTCAGTCTCGCTTTGGATCGTGGTTTGAGGAAGGTGTCCGTCTCAGTCGAGTCGAGCAGCCGCCTCTACTTGTTTTGGTTTACCGAAAAAAGGACATTGGGTGGTCGTTATATTAAAAAAGTCTAACTCGTAATTTGAACACAAACATTTTACGTAATTAAATCATGAAGGATCTGTACGAAATTCATTTGTTCTTGTTGAGATGACCTGATACAATCTAGTCAGAGTGGTTAGTTGTTGAACTCATGAAATTCACAAGAACACACGAGATTTTAAACCACAGGAAAATCACTGGAGGCAGACAACTACACGCCCCGTGCATGCTAGCGCTATTTATTGTGGTCAAACCTGTCAAGGACAAAAACGTGGCCTTGAAATCACAGCTTTTTGTGACAAGCCAGGATTGGTGGTGGTGGTTCGTGCTGTTGCCTCACAGTAAGCAGGTCCTGGTTCGAATCCACAATCTGGCGCAAATGGATGTTTGTCTCTATGTGACAGACTGGTGAGCTGTCCAGGGTGTAACCTACCGCTCTAGGGTTATGCCCCTGCAACCAGGCTAAAGACAGGAGGATGGTAGTTGTTGTAGAGCCCTTCAATTTTTAACCAGACTCTAGACTTTGTTGAACATTATGTAATATGAAGACAACATGTGGTATCTAAGTGACCGAGCAGTATCGGGGTAACAGTTATTGAATAGTGTTGAAATAAAATGACAAAATTATGAAGGATTCAAACATTCAGTTCAACTTACTTCATCTGAACATGTTTCAATCACGTTTTCTGAACACAAAACACAAAACACACGGGTTTATTGAATATGAATACGCTGTGTTGATTTAACTCATTTGTTTAAGTTTCAGTCTGTGCAGCAGTGTTTCCAGCGTGTCATCTCCTAGCAGGTATCTGTAGGCATATGTGTGCTTAGTTGGATTTACTAGTTTACAATCCTTCCTTTTGTTCAGCTCAGGCGCTGCTAACCAGCTAGCTGCTTCCTGTCTCGAGTGTGCGACTGGCTGCAGCTGGTACTGCGTCCGAGGACAGCTGAGCTCATTAGTGAAGCTGAAGTTAAACCACAGGATATGAGACTCATTGAGAGCTAGCTGGTTTATTCTTTAGGTCTCACAAAGCTTTTGGAAAATCAAATATTTTCAGAGGATAAACTTGTTAATGTCAATCATAAATGCTCTTGTCTGTGTCCCTCCTCTGCTCCACAAACACTCGTGGGAAACACTGCTCTGAGATGCACATTTATGGATATGATTTACTCTGAGGTGTTTGACGAGGTCAGCGGTGTTGCCACATCACCTCACTTTCTTGCCACATGTATCGCGAACCACGTCTCGGCTGTTTGTGGAGGTAAAACACGTCCACACATGACTCCAATCACGCTCAGCCATTGTTGTGAGTGCGCACGCCAGAGGCTGCCACATTTATACAGCCGTGTTTCACACATGAGTATGAAAGGCGGAAGAGGAAGTAGTTCCTTCCAGTTTAGATGATCCGAATGATGTAGTTTCTTTCCACTGTGTTCCTGTTAATGATAAACTACACATTTACCCTAAATTACTAAAATATCGATATTTTGATGTGAGAATCGATTCTAGAACATAAACGACTGAATCAATATTTCAGGATCGATCCGCACATCACTAATTATCATCGTCATATCATTATGGACGTTAAAGATCACTACATCCATCTCTTATACACAGGATGCTGGTGCATAGCTGCTAGCTGCTATAGCACTCTGTCAGGCTGCATTAGCTTATTGTTGAAGCAGGCTAACAAGGATCCTGTTTCCTGTTTCATTAGCTTTATTTTGTCGTGCTGTCCATTTGGGTCACATTTGATCATCTTTTTCAGACATTTTGCTCTTTGCTTTATTTTCCTGTTTGTTTTCCCTGTTTCCTTCTCTTCAGTCCTCACAGCCACGGTAAGACTCGTTGTGTGTGTGTGTCTTACTCTGACGAGGTCCTCGGGGAACTGTCCTCGTGAGTTCTCGGGAACGTTGATAGGCGGAATGACCCAGTCCCTCTTCACCCGCCTCAGAGTACCATCGCCTCTGACAACCACGCTGCGCCATGGAAACAGGATCTCTGGTACCTGCTGAGTCAGTGTTGCATCACTGGGCTTTACCTGCAGAGACAGTAAACAAGCACCGTGTATATTCAGCTCAGGGTTACACACACACACACACACACACACACACACAGCGCAGGGACGGCTCGGTGACTCAGGGTATTTCTGACCTCATTCCAGTGGCTTGGATTAATGCTCTCATTATAGTCTGCCTGATAAATGACCACCACCTGTCACCGTGTGTGGGCGTGTGTGTGTGTCCTCTGCAGCCACAGATCTGCAGTGACACTGCAGGCCTCACAGACGACGATAAGAAAAAAAGGAAGGAGCCTCTCATTTACTCTCCCACAATGCACCTGCACAGGAGCCGTGCAGCCCCTGACCTTGGAGACGGGGAGGGCTGCTCTCTGCAGGACCTGATTCAATTAACTGTTATAGCAAGAATACTCTGACATACAGTACAATGGATTCATATGATACACGGCACAATAAATTATGTTAATATATCAGCACTAACTGAACAGAAGCATCGTTTCCAGCCAGCAGAGCAAAGAATCATCTGAGGTCAAAGGGGAAACTTTACTCTTCTGTTTCCAATATTTTATTTCCTTTTTATAGCAAACACGATGGATTTGACATCACTGAAAAACCGCCTGAATTCCTACTTTCTTCTTATTTGTCTTCTCATTAGAAACCAGCTCGTCTGTGTAGGAGCAACATGCAAAACAGAGCTCTGTTTATAAAACAACAATTTGATACGTGTGGAGTTAAAAACTCTCATTTCTTAGCAATGATCAAAAATATGAAAGAAGAAGATGTGGAAACGTCTGAATGGGATGAAAATAAATGAAACCGAGCTTCAGAGAGGACGTGACTCGTTCGATGGATACGTGCAACATTATGGAGGCTGGCTCATCTCAGGCAGAGCGTTCATTGGCTTTAGTGGTCGACATGTCCTCTAGTTTTATCATTTTTG